ATCCCCAAATAGCCTTAATTCAGGTTAGTGAAACATTATAATTTACCCAGAAAGAATGGGCGTCATGGCGGATACAACCAACTATAATGGGGATGTACTGGAATACAGCTGGGTTTACCACATTATCATGAAAAATCCCAGAAAACATTCCCATAGTGTCACCAGTGTATCCCCATGATATTCCCACTATGTCCCCATCATACCACCATTGTAACTACAATTTACCACATTATCACTTTCCATTATCCGCAATGTCCCCATATTTTGTTGGTTAGATCTCAACAATATCGCGAAATATCTTTGTTGAATCCTCAGTATTACTATAATAATAATAGTTATTTATTTTCATGCCACCTGCTCATTGAGTTCCCATGATATTCCCATTATATCACCATTATACCATCATTATAACCGCGATTTAGTGTATCATTACATCACCATTATACTATCATTCTTCCCTTTATACCACCATTATGACTCTACATTTTAATTTGACCACCATTCTCATCATATTCCCATCTTATATCACCATTATACCATCCTTATAACTGCACATTATATACCCAATAGTACCATTAATTATCACTAGCATAATAACTAGACTTTACTCACTACTATTCTCTGGGTAAGTTATAACGACCTCACATCGTGACCTCACTAGAATGATGGTTGGTAAGGGATAACTATGCCAAAATAGCCGAACTTTTCATATTAGTGAAATCTTACAATTTACCCAGTATTGTGATTATTCAGCATTATTGAGCATTACTATTCATATTACTGTTGAATATCATGAAACTAACGCTGTAATAAGCATCATTATTACTGTTGAATATCCTTATATTGTACTATAGTCATCATTATTGTGGTAGTTGATTAAGATTAATAATGCTACCATTTATTATCATGATTATGATATACTAATAATTCGTTGCTTTAGATCATTAATATGTGATTCAACTAATAATACACTTCACTGAAAATAGCCACAACATTACGTGATACATAATAGTTATTGAGATGATGATGATGATGATGATGATGATGATCATTCTAGTTTTTATGAACTAATCATACACTTTACTGATTATTACCATCAGTAGTTGTGATAATATTGTGTTTTATAGTGTTTTATTAACATATAAACATATTATTGTGATGATTCAGCCCTTTGCCTCTGCTGACCCCGAAACCGCGTGAGGATGAACCTTTCGACAATCGCTTCTGCCCCACCTTCAGCTGCAAGTCGGGGGCTCGGACGTTTAGTTCGCTGGGAAAATATGAGCACATCATCTATAAATGGTGGGTTGGGAAAATCCCACCAAAAAAAAAGATTCCTGGGGCGCGCTAATAGGCCCCTTCTTTTTAAGACAAGGGCCTGAAGTTGTCAGGTCTAGTCCCCCTGGGATGCTTTGTAATCCCATCCCGGTCCCAAATATCTGTGAATCCCTACCTTTTTACCATTTTTTTCTGTTTTTTTTTTTTGAACGGATGGGCTTGACACTCCAAGAAGCAGAGTTTATGATAGTTACTAGTATATCATGATATATCATGATAGATGATATACATATATTATATATATATTATATCTATATATATATTATATATATATATCATGATATATCGATAGTTTCATGGGGGTCATAAACCCAGCAATATAACTCACTTTTGGGCACCTTGCACTTATCTGGTCTCCATGGTTTCAGCTGCCGAAGGGAATCCTACAAAAAATCCCATTCACTGTGGGATGACTGGGATGACTCTCATCTTCACCACCATAGCAGCCATAGCACGAACTTAAAATGTCTCTGAAATTATGGTTTGGGGAAAAATCTATGAATCGCGCAGTCCCAACTTCCACCATTCAAGGAGAGTTGAGTTGCGATTTTTATGAACTTGGAGTTTGGAATGGTTGCGAATGGTTGATTGGATATTTTTCACTACAAGCGAACCATCCAACGAAGCATTTTCAGTGTATCTCTCCATCGCGCCTAGTTCTCCGGCGTGGCTGGAAGATGACCTCTGAATCGAATCGGGCCTGGGAGACAGGAAGCAGAATAGGAGTCTCTTTGCCCTCTGGTTATGACTAACATAGCCATGGAAAATCACCATGCTATTAATAGGTAAACCATCTATTTCTATGGGCCATCTATACCATGGCTATGTTAGTCATAACCAGATGGTATAAGCCGACGATGTGAACATCTCATGCTATGGCCTCAGATACCAAGGACAGTATCAAGAACCCAGAACGGGACGACAACAAAAGTCAGAAGGCAGAGCCGGCAGACGCTTCTGGGTAAACATGGCTCAGCAGCACAATTGGTATTGAACCACCAAAAAACGGGAGATCTTTGGGTAAACGCGGGTGAATGGTTGGTCATTTTTTTTTTAATATTCCAAAATACTTCGCAATGGTAGAATTTGCCATTGCGACATTTCTCAAAAGAACGGGTGTGTTCGATCTGGATGTTGAGTGAAATGCCAACCAAGGCTCTTACACTCTGGTAATTTAACATAGCTATTGAAAATGGCCATTTATAGTGACTTTTCCCAAAAAAAATGTGGTTTTCCATAGTTATCAATGTTAGTTTACCAGAGGGTAATGATGGTTAAGGCTGGGGCAATGAATTTTTCTCCCAAACCATGGTCGAAGGGGGCCCATGTCACAGACGGGGGTGCTGGGAAAGCTGCCTAAAAGTGGTGACATTGGATATCCAGTGTGATGATGGGAAAATTTACAGGAAACCCGAAAAAAGTGGTTGGTGGTTTGGAACATTTTTTTTTCCATCATATATATATAATATAATATATATATAATATAATATAATATATATAATATATAATATAAAAAAAATATATATATTATATCCTTCCCATTGACGGACTCCATCATTTTTCAAGATGGTGAAATTGCACCACCAAGCAGCTTAAACAGATGGGTAAAAGCGCCATGGGGGAAACCCGTGGATCTTCCCTGGTGCAATCCATTGCTGTGACCGCATATCGTTTGATGGCGCGTCTGAGGCGACAAAACAACCGATTTCTGTTGGTTGTTTATGTATAAGTCAGTAACTACACTAATTTTTGGATTTCTGGTAGATATATATATACACAGTATATATATATATACAGTATATATATATATACAGTATATATATATATATCTATCGTTGGGTTCGTACGCCAACAAACAGAACTGGGGGAAGGGTCCCCTGTAGTAACTGCCTCGTCAAACTTCCACAATCTCTAATGCAGCCCTACAAAATGGGAAACAGTTGGCTACAAAAGGCTTTCCAACAGTAAGTGGGTTTGCTGAACCATGAGGTTTTAGTTTGTCCCAATTTCAGATAAAGCTATATAGGTATTCTCCTTTTTTGTTCATCCATTTGTTTTTCAATATGCTGCAGTACGGACAAGCCAAAGCTCGTCTGGTGGAACAAACAGCAGGAGCGAGTTTCGGACTGGGTGGCGTTCTTCGACGTTCTTCGTCTGGTGGACAAATAGCAGTCCTAGGAATTTTTGCAGAAAGTAGTATAAAAGGAACCTGTTTAGCATCAATCATCACTACGATTATGTACAGTTTCTTTGGGCTACTTGGATGTGCGTCCCAGTTACTAAACGGTTTATAACCATTAATATATATATATACATACATATAACTGGAATATTCCATATCTAACTGGGGTACAATATTTCTTTTCACCCGCCTACTAATACTAACTAGGATGCACCACTCAAGCTGGAATGATGGAACGTATAGACTCGGATCTTTCTGCGGCCATGTTTTACGGTTGGGATTCGTGCAGCCGATTTCCCGATCTGCACAGGTTTGTCAAAACACCACAATCCCCACTGACTGGGAAGTGCGCAACACCCATAAAGCAGAGCAATACTTACAGCAACACATGCAGTTTTTTAAGCATTGAAATTAGGGGATTGGGCCCAGACAAATAGGTGATAGAACTGAGCAAACAATCGGGAGAATCTTCTTGGGGAATGCCTGGTAGGGTTAGTCACATCATGTAAGGTCCATTGGGGTCGTTGCCTCACATGTACACGCGTTTTGTTCTTGCCTGTGCACGCGCTTACACGTTGTAAGTTCCATGTGCAAGAACCAGTCAGTACTGTAATCAGATTTTCTTTGTATTTCTCTTTTTTGAGCTATCTCTTGTCTGAGTTTATCTCTTCACTGAGCTACTTCTCTGCGCTACGAATCGTTACTGTGCCACTAATCTTCTCTCAGCTACCTGTAGGCCGCCTCGTGCTTGTGGCAGGAAGATCTGACACACATAAATTTGATGGCGTCACAGGAAATGATCTGGCCCTTGATTTGTCTTTTCTCATGTTTCCTCATCTTTTTATGGCATCTCCTTCGCTTTCTTCGTCCCACCCGCATTCCCTCTGGTAGAGGGGACTTCAAATCAAGCCATCTAGCTGCATCTAGCTACCTACCTTCCGAAGTGATGTGGCAACCCACTTTTCTATTGCAAGGGCTGCAAGGGAAAGGAATGCTAGTTCTAGGTTACGTAGGTGATTTATGTTTGGCGACGCATCAAGTACACATGCAAGTAGCAACAGAACAGTTTGGGGAGCGTCAGTGAACATTACCATCCCCATCCACCCCGCTGCAAGACAGACCATGTAAGAGATATGAGCGTGTGTTAGTCTGATGTGGGTGCGTGGGTGAGTCAGGTCCGTGTGCAGATGATGTCCGTGTCCAGCAAAACACAGATGGAGTTGATGAATTCATATTAATTCTATACTGTTCAGCAATGGTACAGCTAAGGGAATAAACACGACAAATGAGACACCTAAGGGTAGAAGCAAGCTTACTCTTGATCGATCGGTTGCAGAGACAGAATGAGGACGCATGCGTCATGCGTCATGATGGCAATGCAACCAGATGTTGAACAAACCATTGGTAGGATCGCCCCCCCTGCCAGTTTGATGGCAACCAAGGTAGATCCAATGGACGCACTGTCGGTAAAAAGCTTAACAAGCGAGTACGCTTGCTATTTGCAAGCCCTAGGAAAATTGAGAGTCCATTTGTACATATCTATGTAGCCTACAGGGACTATTTTCAATCTGCTGATAATCTGCTTATTTGCACTGCACCATTCATAGGATTCAATATCTATGTACTGCAAATAACTTTGGCCAGTAATGAACTGGTGTCACTGGTGGCGCCCATGATTTGGTTTGCAGCTAATGCGATGGGTGGCAATAAAACGCATGATCAGCAGAAAGGCATGAGAAGTTTAAGTAGACTTTTACATAAACTTTTACCATTTTTTGTCCATTTTTCACATTGTTGCCAAACCCGTTATACATCTGAGTTGATACCACCATCATCTTTTTTTAAAACCACGTTCAGGAGGATTTCTATCAAGCAGAGAGAGCCCAAGAGACTGAGCCGCTTGGCTGATCAGCTGCGTGGTTGTTACAAAGTTGCCAAATTTCTATGCAAAGATAAGGGGACCTAGATTCATGGGCCATGTACAATACAGTACAGTATATTTATTATTTATATATATGATATATAACTACATATGTGATATATGTATATATAATATATATGCATATATATGTATATATATGTGTGCACATATATATATATATGTATGCATATGACATATAATTATATATATGTGATATATATATGACATGATATGATATGGTATGATATGATATGATATGATATATATATATATACATATACACGTACGCACGCACACACACACATACACACATATACATCTACATATGAGTCACATGTGTATATACCTGGCGGAGAACATGCGCATAAAATCAACGTGGACGAAGGGACAAAAGGTTTGGGGTGCCTGGAGGTAGTCGTTGTGGTTTGCCACTGGGGTAGTCAGTGCCATAAAGGGTGGCCTTGGCATCACCGCTGAAAGCCCGAAATATTGTGGTTGTTGGTGGTTGATACCCTCTGGTTATTTAACATAGCCATGGAAAATGGCCCATTTATAGATGGTTTACCTATTAAAAATGGTGATTTTCCATAGCTATGTTAGTTTACCAGAGGGTAATCCTAGATTCCTAGGGGGGTTACCGAATCAATTCGCACACTGAGAAGCGGCCCTTGTGTTTCCAAGGAAAGTTATGGAGAGAATAGAATCCGAAGGCACTGGCCGGCCATCCGCAAGTGACAACTGGATGGATTGAGTATGTATAGCATAACACCCCCCAAAAAATACAGTAGAGAAAATATCGAAAAACAACATCCGTTTCCAAAACATGGGCAACTGACAGAGTTTTTTTTTCCTTGGTGGCGGTTACTGTATATATATATATAGATCAGATCTTGAGTTTTTTTTGCGATGGTTACCATGTCTCCCAGCAAAAGTTGAACCTTGAGCAGGGAAACAGGATTACTTAGTATATAGTAGTAAACAACCAATAGTAATAGTGATAGTAATCGCAATTAGCAATTAGTATGGAATTAGTTGGAACGATAAGACAAATGCATTGTTGATAGGATACAGAACCAATATCAACTTCGATGAGGACGGCTGAAGACACGTTTTTTCTGATGTGACCTGGCCAAGTCTCCTACGCTTTACGTGGTTGATGGTGAATACACTGAAGTGACCGGAGATTTGGATGGCGTCTAGCCATATGCTTTAAAACATGTGGCTCTGAACCTTCAAAACTTAGAAGTTGTTACTTGTACCGCAAATCCCAACAATAGAAACATCGTATCAGCAGGGTATCAACAGCCAACTGGAAGATCGATGGCAGACCCCCATGCCCGATGGATGTAACAAGCCGTTGGTAGTGGAGAATTTTCCCATGGTGCCATCCATGATTTTTTGCATGTGCCATGAGCCATGGCTGGGTATTTCCCAGCCGTGTAACTGATTGCTGGTGCTGCAGATAGCTTTTCGGCTTGAGGAAAATCCTCGGGATGGCACCAACATTCTGCAATTGCTGTCCCAAATGACCATAGATCAGTAGGACCTTTAGATGACAACCAAATTTTGCAAAGACCTTGACTACACCGTAGCCACCGTGCTGAACGGAACGTTCGAACGTCATTTCGGTACTGGTGGGGTGAAAACCCGAGCTTGGGAAACTGATTCCTTGTTGACGATAAGATCAGTGTCCTTTTTGTGGTTGGCCCTGGTACCAGTAAAAAACATTGGACCACCCTTTTATGCTGAATGGATTTCTCGACTCATGCTTGGTCATGAGCGGTTTCAGGCAATCAAAGTTGTGTGAGCCCAACTTAGGGATTTTACACACATATATATATATATAATTTAGCTATATATAAGCCATATAACCTTGATGAATCTTGATGAATCTTGATGACTATGACATTTTTGCACACGGGTTTTATAGAATCTCTTTTTCACACCAGCATCCAGGCACGTCTACGGCATCCGGAATGAGTCCTCAAGGCAGGTTGGCAGGTTTTCTGGTGTTGTTGCTGGGATCATTCCTTAAAATCCCCTGGTTTATCTCGCTATTTTTTTTTAAAATCAATTTTCCAGGTTTTGTCTCCTTTTCACAAACGCAAACATGTTCATGTCAAAAATTAGATTGTATAACCATATTGGGATGGTCATCAGCCCATTTTCATAGGGATATATATATACATATATATAAAATAATTGGATACATTATGTTATATATCCATATATATATATGTATATCTATATATTCATTATGCTATATAATGTTATATATGTATACATTATGTTAATATTTTCCTTGGGATATATATGATATATTCATGATGTTTGGATTCCCAAGGATTGGCTTTTGCTGGTTGATGGTCAGGCCACTTAGATGTGGAGCCTGAGACCATACCGCTCAAGGTGCGGGCGGATTTTTTCCCAAGACATGGGTTGACTTAGGATGAACCAAGATTAACAGATATTACCCTCTGGTAAACATACAAAAAACTATTCAAAATCACCATCTTGAATGGGTAAATCAACGAACTTTCTATGGCCATTTTCAGTGGCTATGTTAAATTAACAGATATTAAAAGGGTATAATGTGGGTAAAACAATAATAAACCACTCCATTTTTGATGGTTTCAGTTCCACCCATCAAAATGGTGATTTTGGGGTGGCCGTTTCAGGTACCTAAATTGGAGTTACCTACCATACGTAAGGTCTATGTGAGGGCTAAGGTAATATACCCCTGATGGCTATGGTAATGGTACAGTACCTCCAGTGTAGGTACCCTCGAAAATATATCATATTGGTGTATATCATATAATAGAAACATGTTTCATCCTATTTTTCTCATTTATATTGAATATCACAATTTTCTCAAATGTTGTGTGGTGTTTGAATATGTTGGTTTACATTACGTTATTTCATGTAAAACGTAGTGTATCATATCACAGCTACCAAACATGTTCTATATAAGATCGACCTGATGCACATCCGGTTGACATAGGCCCCAACTACCAGCAGCGATGGTGGCCACTGTTGGTGGAGGCTATGTCCAACTTTGTTTGGAAAAAAACATTTGGTTGTGTCTGAAAATGGGGTATTTACATGTTATAATATTTAAAACAAAGAAATGATGGTCAATCATCATGTTCTCAGTAAACTTGCAATTTTGGGCATGATTTTCAGGCACAACCATTTTTTTTCACGTCGAGGAACTCTGCTACCGAGCGGCGCTGAAGGGTATGCGTTTGGTGTCTGAGCCTCAAATGGTTCAGACCTGGCTAAGAACTGAATTGAGCCATGCGATGCGATTTGAACCGATTTAGCCATGATAATTTATGACACCCCTTATAACTGTGACTAAGGGTATTGTCTTAATTGAACAATCAATAACAATGGCGTCTTAGTCTGTCTTAGTCGATTAAGATCGATTTAATTAAGCCTCATACGAGAAAATAACATATAAATAAATATATGGGGAGATCGTAGTAGTAGGGATTTCATGGCATTCGAAATGATTTAACCAACAAAAAAAGTGATTCCAACACAACATTGGGGATAACATGAAACTCACGACCAATATGGGGTGTTTTGGTGGGGCTGAAACCACGGAATATCACGGAATATCAACCGTAGAGCTGTGGAAAAATCCACCACATATCGGGATATAATTGGAGATACAACCAACCATAATGGAGAGGTATGGCAACAATTTGAACGGACGGACACCTGCACAACAGGGATTTAACCAATGAATCATGAAGTTGGAGGGTTTTCCAATACAATACTGGGATATAGAACAAATCATTCTATGGGGGTAGAATAGGGTTATGATTTATAATGCGGTTATATGATGGGAAAATGACTGGTGAACGGGAGGTTAAACTTTAGTAGGGGAGAAATGTGAACAATGGTGAACTATATTGTTAAAATGCAGATTTTACCGGGACATAATCTGGTATTTTTATGTATATAATACATATGGAGGTTTCCTGAAATAGGGGTACCCCCAAATCATAAATTTTAATAGGGCGTTCCATTACAAACCATCCATCTTTGGGATCCCCCATTTTAGGACACCCCCATATATAATATTAAATATGTATACTACATGACTGACAACATTAGATTTGGACAGAAACAAACAGATGGAAAACCTTGTGTATATCCCAATGAATCAGGCGATGGCTTTGCGGAAGAAATTGATGATTTTGGGTATCCCAAATCTAAACCAACCTTTTTAGATGGTTCTTGCCTTGTTATGATGTTGATTATGTATCCCTTCATTCTCCTGGGATTTGGGGTCCTTTAGAGAGGACAAGATAATACTTGGCACACGTGCCCACCCAAAAAAGGAAACTTTTGGCAATCTTACAGCTTCTGTCACCCGCCAAACAATCTAAAACCTCGAGCATCTTTTTTTTGACGGGGGACCCCAAGATCAACCGGTATTTTTCTGGTTGGTGGTTTCAAACATGGCTTTTATTTGCCATAATATATGGGATAATCCTTCCCATTGACTTTCATACTTTTCAAGATGGTTAAAACCACCAACCAGGTTTTACTCAATGTCATGTCATGAATGTGTTATGCCCTTTTTCAACGCCAAATTGTATCCTAATCTCATGCCGGCCATGCGATCACCTTGGGCCACCTTGAGGTCGAAGCAACACGTGCCGGAAATCTGTTTACCAGCACCACGACAGGTGCCTGACATTTGTCAAAGGGCAGGAGTTGTCGATTTTTTTCAGGACATAACACGAATTCCAATCGCAATCAACGGGGAATGAACCTTTCAATTGGGTGGATTAAGAGTTTTTTGTTCTTGGCAGAATCAAATCCCATGAAAATACCCACTTGGCGGTATCCACCATTTCTCTACAAACCCATTTGGATGTGCAAATGTTGGTCGCTCTTGGTCTTCCAACAAACTCAGCTCTCCCATTCCTTCCACAGCTCCACTTCTGTTTTGGGTCATGATGGTCATGGAGATTCTGCTTGAGTTCAAGGTTTGCCCCAGTCCTTTACTTTTTTTAAGTGACATAAGTGGACCTTAAACCAGTGACATAAAAACGACAGACTCCCACTCCGCAGCGTCGCGATCTCCAGAACTTTGGACCTGAGATGGAGGAGATTCACAATCAGACCTTCATGGTTTCTTGGCAGAACCTTGAACAACTGGGGTATCTTGCAAGATCTTGTAGATCTTGTAGTGGTTAGCAGTAGTATAACTGTATAACTACAGTAGCATCGGAGATGGTGATTTTGAGTTTTTTCTTCTTGTCGCATGTTTTTGGACGTCCTATTCGCCTGTTCGTATCTACCCATACTGTCCTCATGTTTACATGTTTACACCATCACGGTAGACTTGACCTTGTTCAGTCTCAACCATGCACGTTTATATAATTATATATATATATAAATGCATTTATATTTTTTTAATTTTATATACATTTTATATAATTTTATATACTTGTTCCTTTACCTAAACGATCCAAAACTGGCTGTAGCCCCTCCACAACCCGACACAGCGTGACGCTGATCGACACATGGGGATGGAACTTCAAGTGACCAAAAACGGCGTCCTTCGTCACTGGAATGATGGTTAGAAGATGTTCAGGTTAGGGAATTATGATGGTAAAATATGGTAAAATATGGTTAGGGAATTATGATTTTACCATATTTTACCAAGAAAAAACAACACAATTATCCTCTTTATAATTTGTTGAGACGGATATCTCGAGGGGTAATTTGGCAGGTGATCCGTTGTACATGGCTTTCTTTTTAGCTGTTTTTATTCTAGGGGATTTTGTCACATTCCACTCAGAATTTTTGTGTTTTTTGGGGCTAGCCAAAGCCTGTTCTGACTCAGACCAGCTGTCCGGGGTCACCTCGCTGCGCTATATTACGCTATGTTTGGTGTAAACCACGACCCTTGTATTGTCCATCCCTCACAAATTGGAATATTTTATTTTTTTCCATATATTGGGAACTTCATCATCCCAACTGACGAAGTCATATTTTTCAGAGGGGTAGGTATGGTTTTGGATTGCGCAAGTTTAGGCGAAGAAAACCATCCCCAATGGAGATTCCAACGAATCGCCTATCTGATCGCGAAATTGATTGACCCAGCTCGGTCCTTCGCACAGATTCTTTCTGGTTCTTTTCAGCCATAAACCAGCTTGTTTTGGGGTGACCAATGCGTGACCAATTGCCACCCAAAACATTGAGATTGGCTGGACGGCTTGGCTTTGTCTGAACATCGGGTAGCATTCCCATCCAGTACCCCACCATTTGATCGCTGATCACAATTGTAAAAAATGGGATTTCATAGGGAAGATGGCCATTTATAATATGGTTTAATAGGGATATCAATGTTATTAATGGGATATGAATCCTGCCGGTACTCGTTTTTTTTTTTAATGGCAATGTATTGGCCCACACCCCCATGAAAACGGAGACGTCCACTTGGATGCGGATCCATTGGCCTGTGGCAACCATCATGGTTTGGTTCACCCCTTACGTTTCCTTGGATGCAATAGATTTTTGTACAGCTGTATAGCAACCCCAAAAAGGTAGAAAAGTAAAATCCTACGAAGCAGGTGATGAATTGCTCTTCTATATTTTTTTGATTAGTGTACACCAAAATATCTGAGCGGTGACCAACATATGTTGTCATTTGGCAAGCTACTGCTTGTTTGATGAGCGGATCCTGGCTTTCCATGCCATGAGTTTACAAGCTCCATGACAGCAGTGATTTGAGGTGATGCCTACTGAATCTCCCCTACAGGGTGGCCCCCCAGTTATAAGTCGGTTGTAAGCCCGGTTAAGTATAGTTGTATCCTCCTAATCAACCCAAGTTATTGGAGTTATGTTCACCAAATTCGCGTTTCCGAACTGGGCACCACCTTGTATGTTCTGGTGCTTTCGTCACAATTCCTTACTTGGTCATCCAACTTGCAAAGTAGGTAGTTATATCCTTGTTTTTCTCGTGGAATAAGTAGGGTTGATCTTAATCCCACTTGCAGGGGTGAATGAAGCTACTTTGTAAGTGGGATGAACCACCAAGTACCCAGTGTCCAATAGTTTCCATATAACATCCATTAAGCGTATCTAACTGTCCAATTTTTCGATCTTTCGCTGTTTCGAAGCGCTGTTTCGAAATTTCAAGGTGCCCTTGGGCCACGAAATCACAAGAGATCCTACGACATGGACGGGGGAAGCCATGGCAGCAGCAGCCATGGCCTGGAAGCAATGCGGATATTCATGGTGTATCTATGGTGGTATCCATACCCATGACGGATCCATGGTGCTGGTATATATGCTAACATGACTGGGGTATATTGATGGGATCCATGTTACCATATATACCAGCACCATGGATCCGTCATGGGATATCTATAGAGTCATCATGAGTCATCTATCTATTGTAGACTCGACTTAGTAGACCATCTATGAATCCATTTGAGATGGATAGATGGATCATATCTATTGATAATGATAGTATATCGGAGCTTGTGATATAACTGGATACATCAGGATATTCACAGGAGTAAGTATGGAATAGTCATAGGCTATCATAGGGGATATTTTCATGGAATATGACTGGGGGACATGGAATCTTATGGGGATACACAGTAATTTATCTGGTTGCTGGTTTCAAACATGGCGCCATTATTGTCCATTTCATAAAAAAAGGGATGTCATCCTTCCCAGTGACGAACTCCATCATTTTTCAAGATGGTGAAATTGCACCTCCAATCAGTTATAATGCCAACTCCGGATTAATAAACCATGGTTTATTAATTGTGGGTACCTTCCAAATAGTCACAATATGATACTTAAATGGGATCCCCCCAATTAAACAACCCTAAACGGGGTTTATTAATCCAGGGTTGACCTTAGTGGGAATAGCCAGGCTGGCGGCGCAAGCCGCCGGGTCAAATCATAGCCATGGGTGTTGCAGCCCTGCGCCCGAACCGGGATGATTGTGAACATGGAATATGAATATCCAGGATATTCATGGCATATGAACGGAATATGAATGGGGACATTATATATTTTTTTTCATGAATCATTAATGGGAATCTCATGGGATATCAAAAAACATATGCATACGGATGAATATCATGATGAACTTGGCCATGTTTGTGATCATCGATCCACGAATGGAAACTCACCTGGAGGGTGGGCATAGCAACATAGCAACAATATGCAACTTGATGGTGTCAAGAAATAAGCCTATGAGAATGTGTGTTGATGATGAAACTGTAATGTAATTACAGGTATTTGTCAAGATGATTTTTCCTCTGGATCAACTATTGCTGATCTAGGAATCTAGGCATCAAAACCAGAATACCGCAACATGTTGGTATATTAGGATCCCTCAAAGGACGGTTCTGTTCTTGTGACGTTCACCAAATTTCGATCCACTGCATTGAGCCAAAACCTGAATCCCGGGGTCTGAAAAGATGCGTCATTTTTCTCGTGGTTGTGCCATGTTTCGTATATCTTTCCATAGTTTACCAATGGTCATAGTTTCCATAACTATGTTGGTTTATGAAAAATTGTCATATTTTCATGGAAAAATCACAGCAAATTCTATGGTGAAATGGTTTCATTTGTTGATTTCTTGCACTAGACCGAAGATGTGAAAGGGAATCAGTGAACTCAGTGAACTCAGTTTCCTACGGTTTCAGTGGAGGGTAGAGTCGCTACATGACTAGCTGCCATGGGCGCTGCAGGGCGCCTGGGTGTTTTGTTGTCTTTTTTTTTCGTTTTCCTGTTTTTGTTTGATGATGGGGTGGGGTGGGGTAGGGTGGGATGTTAACGTTCATGTTCATGTTACGCTGATGATGTTACGTTGATCATGGGGTAGGGTGGGGTGGGATGTCAACGCTCATGTTTATGTTACGCTGAAATTGTTCCATGTTTGAAGTAGTTTTGATAAGTGAAAAAACAGGCGTGCAAGGCCGCATGCGCAGTTACATTGGGAAGTGCACGCAAAACCCCTTAAAAAAACCAGGCGCCTCTCAGCGCCGTTCCCTAACTAGTTACAACTTAGTTGCCTTGCCAGATTCAGGATGGGTGGAAAAAAAAATCCGGCTTGGGAATCCCAGACACATTAAAACCCAGGTATTTGCTGAGACGAAACTTTATCCACTCTCAGGTCACAATGGTTCGGAATGGGTTGTTTCAGCCATGTTTCGTCAAGCCAGGAGACTCGCCCGCCTGAAAATGGGAAGGATCGAAACGGCGAAGAAAAAAAAGAAGGACTGGATCCTGGGGAATAGTGGTTTCACCATCAATGTTACTAGGTTCAAGACCATCAAGTTGTTGAGTTGAACCAACTGGATGGGCACTTTAGTACAACTTAATATTTTGCTATTTTGATGGAGATATACTAACGTGATCTAAAGTGCTTTTTTAATGTCAGTTATATACTACTAACCAGCTTAAACAAGATGCAGGGTAATAGCATGCCCCAAAAAGACGCAGAAAAGTAGCATCCGTTTACAAAATAGTGATAATGTCATATAATGTCCTTTCTATCGTTTTGAGGGCTGCTATTTTGGTGTAATGACCAACTACTCGTAGATTTTGGGATGTAGTGTAGGTTTGTGATCGGATTCTGAACCTCAGGGATGAAGGACTACAGATTTGCCATGATTTTTTTTCGCAAAAGCTCCAACTACCTTATTGGTGCTTCGGGTTGTTACCCTTCTGCAATCAAGCATGGCAATGGGAAATCCCCAATAAATTGGCATTCTAATGGGAAATCATCAATAGAGCATGGAATTTCATGGATTTTCCATTGCCATGTTTGATTCGAGGGCAAATCGCCTGTATGTTGGATTAGGAATCCATCTAACTATAGAATACTAGGTATATATAATATTAGATATATTCCACGGAAACCCAAACGTCAATAGGTTTAATAATCACCATCCCAACACATCTTAGTCGCCCACGACACAGGATCCCATTGAGGTGAGAAGTGTTGACGGATCGACCTACACGCTGCCTGGATTGGGGATTTTCTTCGGGGGTTAGCCATTGGGAATGAAAGATGACGATGGAAGATATGGATAGACTGGAAGATTATGGAAGCCATGACCCATAGAAATCGATGATTCAGCTATTCAGAAAGGTGATTGTCCACGTCAATGCTTTTCAGCTCGGTTTGTCTCCAAATGGATGAGCCAAAGCGGTTTTGGATTTGGGGTTTCAATTTTCAAGTGATACTTTCATTATCTTTTATTTATAAAAAAAAAACTTCATCGCATTTCATAATCGTTCCGTTGGTCAACGCTTGGTCGGAGCATCAGCCAAGGTTTTCATTGTACAGCAGCACCATGATCAAGATCTGTAAGGCCTTCACTGGGAGGGGATGGTATTAATGGCTCGAAATTGACTCAATGTTGGTTGCCCAGTTTTTCATGGTTTCTGTTTTCGAACATGGATCATTTCATGGAACAAAAAATCGACCTTCTTGCAAGGTATCTAAGAGTCATGAGAATCATTGACCCCCCAATTGGGTAAAATCGGGTTTTTACTTAGCAAATGATGTGGCTCCGCACGCCGGGATGAGCATCCCCCTTTTACGGCCAGTGGCGAAAACAACATATCCGTTGCGAAAACAACAGCCGTTGACATGTTGGATACGTCGTGTCTGAACATTCTTTGTTATGTGATGATATGTGCTACAGTATATATATATATATATTACAACTGGTTGCAAACATGACTTTTATTTTCCATAATATATATTAATATATGGGATAATCCTTACCATTGACTAATATTTTTCAGAGGGGTTGAACCACCAACCTATGCAATGATATGCAGATACATGTGCTCATATATGTCCTACCCAGTGGTTACAAGTTCTTTATCAGATACCAGATGTATTTTTTTTTTTCCTCTAGCGGTCCCATTTTTCGATGCCGGCACGTGTTTCCAGGAGGACTTTCGACGATGTTTTCCACATCATTTCCAGCTGTTCAACTTTTGAACATCTCTTTGTGGGTTTTCCATAGCTTGCTGACTATACATAAGTGACCTGCACAGTAGGTCGAGAAATACCATGAATTGCAATTGCACCCATTGTTCCACTTTTTGGTATAACTTTATCATCACTTAAATCTATGTCAACTCTATCGCTTCGGAGTGTACCAGATTTATTTTTTCACTATCAGAGATGGATATATATATATATATAACACAAAAAGATATCATGAGATGTCATAGATTGTGTCGAATCCCATCTATTCTATTTATCATTTCTATTTATATGTACTATAGTTATATATATCTAATATAATATATATATATAATATATATATATACTATAAATCATTCATCCCATAGATTGATTCCCCCTAGAGAGACCCCGGTTTCTATCCCCACGCATCAGTCAGGACTCGGACTTCCAGCGGGCCATCCCAGTCCATCGGAGCCTACGGGTCACGGAGGAGCTGGGAACCAGCGACTTTTCGCGGGAGTTCATAGACTTTTCTATGGGGTTTGCTAGGATTCTATGGGAATATCTATGGGAATATCTATCATATGGGACTTTTCTATGGGATCTGCTAGGATTCTATGGGAATATCTATGGGAATATCTATCATATGGGACTTTTCTATGGGATTTGCTAGGATTCTATGGGAATATCTATGGGAATATCTATGGGAATATCTATCATATGGGACTTTTCTATGGGATTTGCTAGGATTCTATGGGAATATCTATGGGAATATCTATGGGAATATCTATCATATGGGACTTTTCTATGGGATTTGCTAGGATTCTATGGGAATATCTATGGGAATATCTATGGGAATATCTATGGGAATATCTATCATATGGGACTTTTCTATGGAGTTTGCTAGGATTCTATGGGAATATCTATGGGAATATCTATCATATGGGACTTTTCTATGGGATCTGCTAGGATTCTATGGGAATATCTATGGAAATATCTATCATATGGGACTTTTCTATGGGGTTTGCTAGGATTCTATGGGAATATCTATGGGAATATCTATCATATGGGACTTTTCTATGGGATTTGCTAGGATTCTATGGGAATATCTATGGGAATATCTATCATATGGGACTTTTCTATGGGATTTGCTAGGATTCTATGGGAATATCTATGGGAATATCTATCATATGGGACTTTTCTATGGGATTTGCTAGGATTCTATGGGAATATCTTTGGGAATATCTATCATATGGGACTTTTCTATGGGATCTGCTAGGATTCTATGGGAATATCTATGGGAATATCTATCATATGGGACTTTTCTATGGGATTTTCTATGGATTCTATGGGAATATCTATGGGAATATCTATCATATGGGACTTTTCTATGGGATTTGCTAGGATTCTATGGGAATATCTATGGGAATATCTATCATATGGGACTTTTCTATGGGATTTGCTAGGATTCTATGGGAATATCTATGGGAATATCTATCATATGGGACTTTTCTATGGGATTTTCTATGGATTCTATGGGAATATCTATGGGAATATCTATCATATGGGACTTTTCTATGGGATTTTCTATGGATTCTATGGGAATATCTATGGGAATATCTATCATATGGGACTTTTCTATGGGATCTGCTAGGATTCTATGGGAATATCTATGGGAATATCTATCATATGGGACTTTTCTATGGGATTTTGCTAGGATTCTATGGGAATATCTATGGGAATATCTATCATATGGGACTTTTCTATGGGATCTGCTAGGATTCTATGGGAATATCTATGGGAATATCTATCATATGGGACTTTTCTGTGGGATTTTCTATGGATTCTATGGGAATATCTATGGGAATATCTATCATATGGGACTTTTCTATGGGATTTGCTAGGATTCTATGGGAATATCTATGGGAATATCTATCATATGGGACTTTTCTATGGGATTTGCTAGGATTCTATGGGAATATCTATGGGAATATCTATCATATGGGACTTTTCTATGGGATTTGCTAGGATTCTATGGGAATATCTATGGGAATATCTATCATATGGGACTTTTCTATGGGATTTGCTAGGATTCTATGGGAATATCTATGGGAATATCTATCATATGGGACTTTTCTATGGGATTTTCTAGGATTCTATGGGAATATCTATGGGAATATCTATCATATGGGACTTTTCTATGGGATTTGCTAGGATTCTATGGGAATATCTATGGGAATATCTATCATATGGGACTTTTCTGTGGGATTTTCTAGGATTCTATGGGAATATCTATGGGAATATCTATCATATGGGACTTTTCTATGGGATTCTGCTAGGATTCTATGGGAATATCTATGGGAATATCTATCATATGGGACTTTTCTGTGGGATTTTCTATGGATTCTATGGGAATATCTATGGGAATATCTATCATATGGGACTTTTCTATGGGATTTGCTAGGATTCTATGGGAATATCTATGGGAATATCTATCATATGGGACTTTTCTGTGGGATTTTCTATGGATTCTATGGGAATATCTATGGGAATATCTATCATATGGGACTTTTCTATGGGATCTGCTAGGATTCTATGGGAATATCTATGGGAATATCTATCATATGGGACTTTTCTATGGGATTTGCTAGGATTCTATGGGAATATCTATGGGAATATCTATCATATGGGACTTTTCTATGGGATTTGCTAGGATTCTATGGGAATATCTATGGGAATATCTATCATATGGGACTTTTCTATGGGATTTGCTAGGATTCTATGGGAATATCTATGGGAATATCTATCATATGGGACTTTTCTATGGGATTTGCTAGGATTCTATGGGAATATCTATGGGAATATCTATCATATGGGACTTTTCTATGGGATTTGCTAGGATTCTATGGGAATATCTATGGGAATATCTATCATATGGGACTTTTCTATGGGATTTGCTAGGATTCTATGGGAATATCTATGGGAATATCTATCATATGGGACTTTTCTATGGGATTTGCTAGGATTCTATGGGAATATCTATGGGAATATCTATCATATGGGACTTTTCTATGGGGTTTGCTGGGATTCTATGGGAATATCTATGGGATATCTATCATATGGGACTTTTCTATGGGATTTGCTAGGATTCTATGGGAATATCTATGGGAATATCTATCATATGGGACTTTTCTGTGGGATTTTCTATGGATTCTATGGGAATATCCATGGGAATATCTATCATATGGGACTTTTCTATGGGATCTGCTAGGATTCTATGGGAATATCTATGGGAATATCTATCATATGGGACTTTTCTATGGGATTTGCTAGGATTCTATGGGAATATCTATGGGAATATCTATCATATGGGACTTTTCTATGGGGTTTGCTAGGATTCTATGGGAATATCTATGGGAATATCTATCATATGGGACTTTTCTATGGGATTTGCTAGGATTCTATGGGAATATCTATGGGAATATCTATCATATGGGACTTTTCTATGGGATTTGCTATGGATTCTATGGGAATATCTATGGGAATATCTATCATATGGGACTTTTCTATGGGATTTGCTAGGATTCTATGGGAATATCTATGGGAATATCTATCATATGGGACTTTTCTATGGGATTTGCTAGGATTCTATGGGAATATCTATGGGAATATTATGAGAGATCATGTAATTTAGCCTCTGGTCATGTAGCGTGGCTATGGGAAATCACCATTTTGAAGAGGTAAATCATCATAAATCATTGAATCATCTATACATGATCCGTTATTAATGGAATCACCCCCCCCATAAATTGTTTTTTTTTTCAAATAATATTATATATAATGCATGTGCAGCATGAAATATATATATATATGGAGGTTTCCATAAATGGGGGTACCCCCAAATCATCAATTTTAGAAGGGATTTTCCATTTTAAGCCATCCAGTTGGGAGTACCCCTGCACAGTATGTAGTTCCATACAGGATGGCCCCCCCAGTTATGTTTGTTGGTTTATAAACCCCATGAAAAAAACCAGAGTTATATATATATATATACTATAAACCATAGTTTTTTCGCAACTTATATCTCAACTTACTCAACTTAGCTATCTTTGGGGTCCCATCCTGTAGTGGCCTCAGATGCGCTGAATCTGGTGAATTGTCGTCTGCCACAGGAGGGAGGCAAACGCTTCGCACGGGGCCTTGGTTGGCTTCGGTGAAATTTCACATCGTCATGGTATAGAAATGGGGGTAGCCCAATAGCTGGATGGTTTATTTCATGGAAACTGCTATTAAAATGGATGAAAACTAGGGGTACCCCCTATTTTCGGAAGCCTCCGTAAATACCTATTAGATGGTATCTATAAATTTTCTATATCATGTTTATCTATATTCATAATTAATGACGACGTTTACCGAACTTAAACATGGGGTTTTCGTTGGGGTTCTCCATACTTGATATGGCTGTAACAGCCCGGCGGCTTGGTTATCCAATGCTTGTGACTCTTTTCCCCCATGACTTAAGGAAACCCTCCATGTGGACACGGATTTTGATATGTTCCAGGGTCTTTCGGGGCATTTCGAAGATTCGATCCTAGATGATGAAGTACTAGGAAATAGTACCCTGCCCAGGGATTGGCACTGTTCGTGAGACCGACTCTGAGACAGTGGTCACATTTTCCGCAATCGAACACATCAAACACCACATATGTGTAAATCCCATACTACACCATGGTTTCTAGGGGGTGTTTAATATGAGGTGGACGGGATGATGTTTCTTTGAGTGTCCCTATGCCTAAGAAATACATACTTGGATGGCTGAGAAGCATAGGAGGTTGTTAAACAAAACAGTGGTATCAGTGGTATCCTTTATCAACAGACATAGTGACATGAGTGGTAGGACGGGATAGCTGGCCTGTCCGCAGAGTAAACAAATGGGGAGATTCATATCTATTTCAGGACGGGTTCAGGATGGTTAAGGTCTACGTTCATGACATGAATTACTAGCTTAATCCGTTCTAAACAATCTAAACTCCACTTCGAAGTGACCTTCTTGTAACGGTTTGCTTCAACTTCAACTACCAGTGGTTTTTTTTGGCCATTTTGGGCCCGGAAAAATCACAGGTCGAAGTCTCTGCAGACCGAGAGCCCATTCAGGCGAAAAGGGGCATCATCGGCATCTTTACGGGGCGTAGTCATGGTAGACTGTCGGATTTATGGTGTATATATACTGTAATATATATAATTATGATTATACTGGTTGGTGGTTTGGAACATTTTTTGTTTTCCATAATATATGGGATAATCCTTCCCATTGACTTAAATATTTTTTAAAAGGGTTAAAACCACCAACCAGATAATATAGATCGAACTAGTTACATCATGGGGGTTATATCATTTTTTTTGATGTTTTTTTTTGGGAAGATCGGTGCGGCAAATCGAAAACACCATCGCCTCTTTGGGGTTTATGAAGGCAACTGATTGCCCTCAATTTGTTACAGTTTGCAACATTGAAAATGGCGAAATCGTTGATTTACCCATAAAAAATGGTGATTTTTCATGGTTATGTGGCTGTTTACCAGGCCGGGTAATCTTGGGATGATGTAAGATCACACCGAAAAATGGTTACTGGGACGGTGTATTTTTGGGTTTGCACGATTTTTGGGTTTGGACATCTAGAAGTTACCCTCTGGTAAACATACAAAAAACTATGGAAAATCACAATTTTTTTATGGATAAATCCACTATAAATGGACATTTTCAATAGCTATGTTACATAATTTACGAGAGGGTATGAGGTATATAAAACTGTGAAACAACATCTCTAACCTGAAACATGGAACATTATTCTTTGCAGCGCACATCTGTCTGACACATTTTGCGGCGTGGATGATTTATATATAGGGAACAAACAACCGGCAAAGGGTCAAAAATAATTGTTGACCTTTGAATGAAGCCTTTTCATTTGTCCGTCAGCTTCGGGATGTATGAGAAATGATCCAGCAGCACTTCTGTTTTTTTTCCTGTACAGAATATGCATTTCGACCAAGGCAAGTTTGTTTCAAAGTGTTTCAAACAAGGAAGACACAGGGGAGCCAACAGATAGAACCACCCTCTGGCAATTTAACATAGCCAAGGAAAATCCCCATGATTGATATGGAAATCATCTATATGGGCCATTTTTTATGACAATGTTGAATTACCGGAGGGTAGGAAGGAGAAAACAGCGGAGTCAGAACCAACACAGTAGGGGAGGAGGACCTCCAGCACGGGAATGAAGGGACAACACTGGCTTTACTGTGAGAGTTGTGGGATGTGGGTCCATCAAAACGGAACACATGGGCTGTTCCCAAATGGAAAACACAACATCGTGAGCCGTGGGGCACCTATTGCCAAGAATCTTTTTTGACATGTGCCATGGTCAACAGTTGGATGAACATGGACTAATGTCAACCCCGGATTCATAAACCATTTAAAACAATTAGGGTGGTACTTCCCCAACAGTCATTTCATCTCATACTTCAATGATACCCCCCCAATTAAACAGCCCTAAACGGGGTTCATTCATCCAGGCTTGACATTAACCCAGGCCCGTTGAGCGTTTTACTCATCGATCCATCAGGGGCTTTAGCATGGCGGCAAACCATGGCACCACCAAACGTGGGTCTCTGGACTAAGCCATGGAAAATCAGTCGTTTATTGGCTGGGTAAAATTCCCAAACGGAAAATATGGGAGGTTTAGTTCCCTGGGTAAATATGGGAACAGCATCTATAAATGGAGGTTTCGTTCGGGAAATTCGAGCCGAAGTATAGCTGGGGTATTTTTGTTTCCAGCCATGTGACTGATTTTCCATCGGAGGGCTTTTTTTTACCCAACACATCTGGTCGTTTGCATTTTGACTCCAGTGGAAGCCATGATATATGGCCTATATGGCTATAAAAATATATAAAAATGCTACAAGTACATACAAGTCATGGTATTTCATGGTCGAATATGGTCGTAAAAAAACGACCTCACCATGCAGACAGTGGCACAACATCGTGGAGATTCTATGAAAAAACCTATGCAAAAATCGCCATGGATTCTGGATAGATTTTTGGTCATCCGCAGGTTGCTCCGGATCAGTTCAAACAGCTGAACAAGGTGGGTGGGCGAAAAATGGGCTCAACATCCATCCGGCGGGAGAAAGAAGTGCCCCTGGGGAATCCCACGGAAAAACACAATCATTTGGCCGACCATGATTCAACAGGGGTCCCGACACACGATTCAATGATATTCAATGTATACAATTATATACTAATTTAACACAACGTACACTTTTACACGTTCACTTCGGGTCTATTCGATGTGGGTCGGTCTTGGAGTCTTGAACTTGATACTGCTGGTCAAATATACGTATATAACAATATATATATATATAAATAATATATCACCCTGGGGTAAACGTTTACAGAAAGATCATGGGGAGACTCTTCGGAAAATGATTTACATTCATGGTGGGTTTTCCACATCTTTTTGTAGGTTTGGAGGAGAAATGACCCATCGCTGCCCTGCGTGTTTTCTCGTTTTGAAGCCAACCTGAACAGAAAACTTGACAAAACTTTCCAATGCTTTCCCTTCAAAAGGCCTTTCGAAGGGGTTCTCCAGCATCAGCCAGTAGCATAGGGGAAAAATTGCTTTGGTGTAGACCCATGTTCGAAGGTGTTGCTTTGGGAAAGCAGTTGGAACCCGACTTCTTATTGTTGCTCTCCGCGAACGAAAAATCGTCCAAGAATGCAACGCGACCAAAATCCGATGGTTTCAAAATCATGTGAACATCATTTGAACATCATTTGAAAATCATTTGAAAATCATTAGAATATCATTTGAACATCATTTGAATATCATTTAAAAATCATGTGAAAATCATTCGAAAATCATCCGAACATCATTTTAACATCATTCGAACATCATTTGAAAATCATTTGAACATCATTTGAAAATCATTTGAAAATATTTTGAAAATCATTTGAACATCATTTGAACATCATTTGAACATCATTTGAACATCATTTGAATATCATTTGAAAATCATTTGAATATCATTTGAAGATCATTTGGAAAATCATTTGAAAATCATTTGAACATCATTTGAACATCATTTGAATATCATGTGAACATCATTTGAACATCATTTGAAAATCATTCGAAAATCATTTGAACATCAATTGAGCATCATTTGAATATCATTTGAAAATCATTTGAATATCATTTGAAAATCATTTGAAAATCATTCGAAAATCATTTGAACATCATTTGAACATCATTCGAAAATCATTTGAACATCATTGGAAAATCATTTGAAAACCATTTGAAAATCATTCGAACATCATTTTAACATCATGCGAACATCATTTGAAAATCATTTGGACATCATTTTAACATCATTTGAACATGATTTGAACATCATTTGAACATCATTTGAACACCATTTGAATATCATTTGAAAATCTTTCGAACATTGAATATCATTTGAACATCAAATATCATTTGAACATCACTTGAAAATCGTTTGAAAATGATTTGAAAATCATTCGAACATCATTTGAACATCATTTGAACATCATTTGAAAATCAATTGAAAAGCATTTGAACATCGTTTGAACATCATTTGAAGATCATTTGAACATCATTTGAACATCATTTGAACATCATTTGAAGATCATTTGAACATCATTTGAACATCATTTGAAAAAATGAACATCATTTGAACATCATTTGAACATCATTTGAACATCATTTGAACATCATTTGAAACATCATTCCAACATCATTTGAACATCATTTGAACATCATTTGAAAATGATTTGAAAATCATTTGAAAATCATTTGAAAATCATCCGAACATCATTTTAACATCATTCGAACATCATTTGAAAATCATTTGGACATCATTTTAACATCATTTGAACATCATTTGAACATCATTTGAAAATCATTTGAAAATCATTTGAAAATCATTTGAAAATCATTCGAACATTATTTTAACATCATTCGAACATCATTTGAACATCATTTGAACATCATTTGAACATCATTTGAACATCATTTGAAAATCATTTGAAAATCATTAGAATATCATTTGAACATCATTTGAATATCATTTAAAAATCATGTGAAAATCATTCGAAAATCATCCGAACATCATTTTAACATCATTCGAACATCATTTGAAAATCATTTGAACATCATTTGAAAATCATTTGAAAATATTTTGAAAATCATTTGAACATCATTTGAACATCATTTGAACATCATTTGAACATCATTTGAATATCATTTGAAAATCATTTGAATATCATTTGAAGATCATTTGGAAAATCATTTGAAAATCATTTGAACATCATTTGAACATCATTTGAATATCATGTGAACATCATTTGAACATCATTTGAAAATCATTCGAAAATCATTTGAACATCAATTGAGCATCATTTGAATATCATTTGAAAATCATTTGAATATCATTTGAAAATCATTTGAACATCATTTGAATTTCATTTGAAAATCATTTGAACATCATTTGAAAATCATTTGAACATCATTTGAACATGATTTGAACATCATTTGAAAATATTTTGAAAATCATTTGAAAATCATTTGAAAATATTTTGAAAATCATTTGAAAATCATTTGAACATCATTTGAACATCATTTGAACATGATTTGAACATCATTTGAACATCATTTGAAAAAATGAAAATCATTTGAAAATCATTTGAACATCATTTGAACATCATTTGAATATCATTTTAACATCATTTGATCATCATTTGAACATCATTTGAAGATCATTTGAACATCATTTGAACATCATTTGAACATCATTTGAACATCATTTGAACATCATTTGAAACATCATTCCAACATCATTTGAAAATCATTTGAAAATCATTTACAATATGTATGACATGTAAAATGGTAATGCATTGGAGCATACCCCCCTGTTTGAACAACTGAAATGATCTCTACCCTTCTTTTTTTCCCAGCTGCGTGGTGGTTCGAAAACCTCAAAATACCATCCACAACTTGGGATATTCAATAGTTTTGCCCTTAATGATATTTTCCCTAACTTAACATCATCTACACCCCTAATATCAAATACCAACAAAACCCTAGTTGAGTATTGAGTTTATATATTCATTTGGGGGTCCCCTAGGGGATGGAATGACCTATCATCAAATCAACTATCAATCCTCATTCTTGTTGGTGAAGGTGATACCGTGATACTGGTACCTTTCGTATTTTTCTAGATGAAAATTCATTCATGGGTGCCATGGTCAAGTGTGTTGGATAAGACTTAAATAAGACTTCAGATCAATTATGCAAAACGAACCTCTGGAAAGAGTTGGGGGATGGTCATCAATCCATTGGGTATCCATGTCATATATATTCATATATCATATGGGAGTTCCCTAAGTCATAGGGCTACTCCCAGTTATCATCTATGTTAGGATTTTCCCTGAAATAAACCATCCAATGCTCCCTTGGGGTAGCTTCAAAAAAATGGCCATGGAAACCCCCAGGCGAGAAATCGGCCATGGATTCCCACGGGATCATCGAAAATCATCACGTGAAATCCCATGAAGAATGCACGAAATTTCGTGTGAGGATGACCTATAAACTTTTTACCAAGAAATCACTCATTATAATCAGGATGACCTACCCTCTGGTTATGACTAACATAGCCATGGTATAGATGGTCCATAGAAATAGATGGTTTACCGAACTTAAAAATGGTGATTTTCCATGGCTATGTTAGTCATAACCAGAGGGTATAATAAAAATCACGATTTTTATTGGTGAAGTCACCATTTCCCTTGAACTCCCTATTTTGGTCATCCCTTGTCCCATGAGGCGCTGGACTTGTTTCGCATCGGCGCCGCCGAAGCGCAGAATGCCTACTTAGAGGCCGAGGCGCGTGCCGCGTAAGCGAAGCAACGGGTTTCCGCTAAGCAGTTTCTCTGTGGAAAATCATGGGAAAATGATGAAAATGGTAGGGAAATTCACGATACATGGAGGTTTTAATGAGAAAAGCCAGTATATTAAGGATCTTTTGTGATGTGTCCTAGGGTAAATTCACATAGATCGGGGTTTATTTTGTCATGTGACCTCACAGGACAGCCTGGAATCATGGGAATTGGATTCGGGGACTCATCCCAAGAAAACTAACCAAATCCCTCTGGTAAATTAACATAGACCCTGGCAGATAGAGGTTGGAAGATTAGTTTCCATTGAAACTGTGCTATTTTCAGGGTCGAACTGTTAATTTACCAGAGGGTATAGTTTAACCGTTCAACCAGATGTGGAAAACCCATGAAACCCTAGGACAATGATCTACTTAAATGGTGGATTTTCATATTAGTTTACCCCAAGGTATCTGAAAATTTTCGGTGTGCTAAGCAATCAGATCCCAAGGGGTTTGTCTGAAAACAGACGGGATACCCATGGCCCGTTTTCCCGTTTGATCATGGGGAAACTGTCATGACAATCCCCTGGAGTTGGGGGAAAATGCTATTTCAAACAGTTCGCCAGCCAAATAGCCATTTTCATGGGGGAAGCTATGATGATTCAGAAGGCAAAAATTGTGGGTTTAGTTCCTGTTTTCAGGTCCAAAGATTCAACGAAGTTTGCAAGTTTTTTTTGGGAATTTACGCATAGATATGAATTGATGGCCCATTGCATTCGATGTTTTTTTTCATATGCGAACTTGGTGATTTTCCATAGCTATGTCAATGACACCTGAGGGTAAGTGATTTACAACTATGTATAATACATATTTGAACTGGTGTGGAACAAAGGACATATATCATGCACATCTCATCTAGTGGAATCGAGTGGAATATACCATGGGAATAATTCTCGATGGGAGGGTTTTGTCGCCAAGATTTTCTGCATCCCAAAAGTTTGGACTCCAAACAATGCAAGTCACTTGACTGTTTTGTGAATCTTAGATGATCTGTTTGCAAAAAAACATTGGATGTGTGATCAACTTGCTGACATGATCTAAACTGAAGCACTTCATGCTGAATTCTATGTAGACGTTTGAATTCGTCTACAGTGAGCAGCAGCTGATCCCTGTTGTTTCTGAATGAGGATACAACAGGGTAGAAGCAATCTGCAAGGTGGGAGAATCACCCCACGGATCCTAACTAGACCTCATGAATTGGGTCTGGAAGGTGATTTTCCTATTGTTTTTGAGGCAATTTTGGGGTTCCATGATGTTCCATGTTTAAGGGAATCTATTATGTGTGTATATTATATATATATTATATTATATGTATTACTGTATAGATACATACACACTACATTACAGGTTACCAGGTAACCACTTATCACCGTTTTTGGATAGGATAACCCAAGCCTAGCTTTTGGATGGAGTTACGTCCACCATGGTTATAACCCCAGTTCCAAGTAGAATGAATAAGCTTAGTCCATTCACAACCCGGGTTACCCACTTAGCTGGGGTAAACCACCAAGTCAACATATTCTGGTTGATGGTTTGGAACATTTTTGTTTTTCTTTCCAGATATTGGGAATTTCATCATCCCAACTGACAAACTCATATTTTTCAGAGGGGTAGGTATACCACCAAGTCAACATATATGAATATATATGATTGATTCTTATTGCATATACATATAAGTTATGTAATGTATGGTTATATATGTAGGATGATATACAGACACCAAACCTGTTCGTCAAGATCGACACACGCACACACACCAAGCCAAGTGGGCGATTGGCAGGAAAAGCCACCGCCAAACGACAACGAGGTACTGGCTCACAATAGCTGGGATATGGAGGGGTTCTTGAAACGGGTGTACCGCCAAATCATTCAAGATTAGGCTATTTTCGTACCCGGCCCCCGACTGTAAGAAACCCCCATATACAATCATATACCCTCTGGTAAACTAACATAGCTATTGAAAATGGCCATTTATAGTTGATTTACCCAGCTATAAAATTGTTGATTTTCCATAGTTATGTTAGTTCACCAGAGGGTACATACATTTATATAGTTGTTCAGTGTGGAACCGAAACATTGCCAGCTCAGGAAACGTGTGGGGATGTGGTTAAACATGATATAGAAATCATTTGAATAAGAAATCCCCAAAAAGTAATTTATCATGATTTATCACATCTAGCAGGATTTGACTATTGTTTTTGGCTAGAAATGTGGTTTTTTGAAAAAGAAGACGGACCTCAAAGGAGGGGCAAAATCGATCAGCTTCAGATCCCAGGTTTGAGATATACCCTTTGGATCCCTCTGGTAATCTAATAGTTTGCTATGACAAAGCATCATTTTTAATGGATAAATCATGGTAAACCATCTACTTTCTCCGGCCGTTTTAAAGGTTTCCATGGCAAACTGTCAACATACCAGAGATTTTTTGTGACCTCAGGGACCCAAGGATCCCATATCAAACCCTCTACCATGGTAGCCGCATTCCGCAGACCCCTGCCTACCTGAACATCCGCTACCGTCGTTACGGCACGGCTGGGGTCTCCCAAAAATTCCAAAGGGCGGTGGAAACCGAGTCGGAATACTCTTCTGGAGGATCCCTCAAAGTTGGGAGGTGGTTGCCAGTTTTTTCGGCATACCCTCCGGTGTCAGTCACATAGTTTTCTGCAGGATTTCCCAACTATAGCTGTGAGTTGGATGATTTTCCGATAGTTTTAGTGGATTTCCCAGCTAGCCATGTGACTGATTACTGAAGGGATCCCAAAAGAATAAACATGGATTAGCCTAGGGTAAACTAAGATAGATGTGGGCAATCAACCATTTGTAGACTATTCTGTTGGGGAAACCGTAGGTTTTCCACATCTATGTTACTGTTAGTTTACCCTAGGGTAACATGGCATATTTCCGGTTCGTGACATTTCCAATGGAGCAAAGGCCGACAAAAAGTACGAGAGACGCATGATTTCGAATCAAGGGGTGCCTCCCATACCCCACCTACAAATTGGTTTATAGTAATCCCTTTTGTTTTAGTTGGCTCATGTTGGCTCCATTTATTTCATACCCAGAGCTGTATCCAGAGATTGCTGCTTGTACATCATTTTCTGGTTGGTGGTTTCCAAGATTTCTTTTTTATTGTTCCACTCTATTTGGGATCAATGATCCAATTTAACACATATGTTTGGATTGGGTTGAAACCATCAACCAGTTTTTGTTAGATCCAATCACGATTCGTGGCTAAAAAAACCCACATATAACATCATATAGCGTCCGAATCCGATACCTGTAAAGTTATTTTTACAAAGGAAAGCCCACCATGAATCTTCAGATCATTTTCCGAGGTGGTCTGGGTTGCACCAATGGAGGTCTTCGAATGGCAGGCCGCGGGAGTTCGCCGTTGCCGCAACTGGTAATTTGTTACGATGGCGAAATCGTTGATTTACCCCAAAAAAATCTGAAACATGGTGATTTTCCATAGTTTTCTGGCTGTTTACCAGAGGGTATATCCACCAACATCCCTGTTTTTTGGTTGATTGAACCCCCAACGAATCACCTTTTTTCATCTCATTAAACCATATTAAATCACCATGAAATCCCATGAAAAACCACCATAGTAAAAACCAGGGGGTAGGCCAGCTGTTTCTTTTTCGTGGTTCAGAAGTTCTGTTCATCCCGAACCTCCGAACCTGGAAGATCCCAACAAGCTATGGGATGGCCCATTTTTAGTCACGAAGATGGCCTTAAAAAATGCATAGCTATGTTAGGTTACCTGGTTTTTTTCCAGGTTTCTATTGAAGAGAAGTCGACTTAGAAAATAGATTCAGTAGATATTTGTAAAAACTCCGTGGGAAAACACTTTTTGTGTTTTGGGCACCAGATCTGGATTCAGCATCATCATTTTAAGGTCATAAATGGATGGCCAGATCTACATAGATGTAGCATTGGAATCATTGGAAGAACTGTTCTTAGGAGGCTTTTCGGTGTCAGTCACTTTCACATTCTTTTCACAGGAAACAGTAGACTTGAACACTGGATCAGATAAGATAAACCAAAACGACAACATGTTGATGTACTGAAGCTCATCAATAGCCTGTCAATCGACGCTCGGGCCTTCACCAGGAAAACCAAAAAAACTTGAACACACTATACGATGAATTGGCGGCTCTACTCGTAGCACTCTGGCTGAAACCTGACTTACGAAAAAATCCCAGACTTGGATGGGAACATCTGCAACAAACCTCTTTTTTGGTCACTCCCTAAAGATAGAACGGTATTTTAGAATGTAGCAATCTAGCAATGTTTCTTCTTTTTTTGGAGTGACTGTGTATTTACTGCAACAAGCTATGGTTCCTCTAGGTTTCCCTTGAATCATTCGAACAAACACCAATATTTATTTGTTATCTGAATCTTTGTTTTTATCGGTTAAATCATATCAAATCATGCTAAAACACATTAAATCTCATTATCGAAGGAAGTTTAGAAGTCAAACTTCTGACAATATGGACAGATAAAAAGCAGAGATGGGAAGAGTCAGAGAAGAGAAGAGAAGAAGAAAGAAGATCAAAAAAGAGAAAGTCTCCGAAAAAAAGAAGATCCAGGTGCGCGAAAAGGTAGGAAAGCCGCGAAACAGTGTGTTTTGCCAATGATTTGCGGCTCCGGATGGTCGAAAAGTAGGCTCGCTAAAGCGGCGGGTGCGGAGCCATCTGGCCAGATGAGAGATGAAAAGTTGCACGCCGTTGTGGCGCAAAGCACATGTCCAAGTCAAAATGCACGAAACACACCAGGGTCGTACCACTTTTGGAAGTTGAGATGTGGAAAACTGCACACGCCGTTGTGGACGAAGCACATTTCGAAGTCAAAAGCGCAAAAACTGAGGGGTACGGAGCTCTTTAGGACGTTCAGATGTCGTTTTTCGTGGCAGGCGCAGGGGATTGTGCACCTTGTCAAAAGTGAGCAAAACTGGAGGGTTTTGTAGCAGTTTCAACAACCATCGCAGGCATGGGAAATTTGAAGAGGATCTGGAAAGATGCATTGCGCTTGGCAGGCGCAGTACAAGAGACACATGAGGTAGGAGATCAGGGCGGAGATTTCCTGAGAGGGGTTGCATTTTGGAGCATCAGATCGTCAGTTTTGGGAAGATGATTTTGCGTGACAAGTGCAGCACTTCGTATGACCTGGCATCACTTTTTCGTGGCAGGCGCAGTACTTTAGACAGGTGGAGGTGGAGTGGAAAACATGCAAAACGCATTGGTACGAGGCCATCAGCTCTGCACTCAGTTCCATTTTTGAAGGAAGTCTCGCAGAATTGCTTCGTTTTTGATCTTGCCAACTTGGAAAATTGAGAAAGTCTCGCAGAATTGCTTCGTTTTTGACGTTGTCAACTTCAAAAATTGAGGAAGTCTGACAGAATTGCTGCGTTCTTGACGTTGTCAAGTTCAAAAATAGAGGAAGTCTCGCAGTCTCGCAGAATAGCTTCATTATCAAGCTTGCAGATAGATAGATGGATGAAAAACTACAACTACAACTACCACTACCACTACACTACAACTACATACACTACAGCTACAACTACAACTACATTACACTACACTACGCTAATTACAGCACACTACGTTACAACTACAACGACAACGACACTACAACCACACTACAACGACACTACAACGACACTACAACGACACTACAACGACACTACAACGACACTACTACCACCACTACCACTAGCACTACCACTGCCACTGCCACTACCACTACCACTACCACTACCACTACCACTACCACTACCACTACCACTACTACTACTACTACTACTACTACTACTACTACCACGACCACCACCACCACCACCACCACTACTACCAGTACTACCTCTACTACCACTAGTACCACTACCACTACCACTACTACTACCACCACCACCACCACCACCACTACTACCAGTACTACCTCTACTACCACTACTACCACTAGTACCACTACTACCGCTACTACCGCTACTACCACTACTACCACTACAACCACTACTACCACTACTACCACTACTACCACTACCACCACTACCACCACTACCACCACTACCACCACTACCACCACTACCACCACTACCACCACTACCACCACTATCACCACTACCACCACCACTACGACTACTGCTACTGCTACTGCTACTACTGCTACTACTGCTACTACTGCTACTACTGCTACTACTGCTACTACTGCTACTACTACTGCTACTACTACTGCTGCTGCTACTGCTACTATTACTACTACTACTACTACCACTACTACTACTACTACTACTACTACTACTACTAGTACTAGTACTAGTACTAGTACTAGTACTAGTACTAGTACTAGTACTACTACTACTACTACTGCTACTACTACTACTACTACCACTACTATTACCAATACTACTACTACTACTACTACTAAAACTACTACTGCTACTACTACTACTACTACCACTACTATTACCAATACTACTACTACTACTACCACTACTATTACCAATACTACTACTACTACGACGACGACGACTACTACTAGTACCACTAGTACTACTAGTACTACTAGTACTATTAGTACTACTAGTACTACTAGTACTACTAGTACTACTAGTACTACTACTAGTACTAGTTCTAGTTCTAGTACTAGTGCTAGTACTACTACTACTACTACTACTACTAGTACTGCTACTAGTACTAGTACTAGTACTACTACTACTACTACTACTAAAACTACTACTACTACTACTACTACTACTAGTAACTACTACTACTACTAGTAGTAGTAGTAGTAGTAGTAGTAGTAGTAGTACTAGTACTAGTACTAGTACTAGTACTAGGTAGTAGTAGTAGTAGTAGTAGTAGTAGTAGTAGTAGTAGTACTAGTACTAGTACTAGTACTAGTACTAGTAGTAGTAGTAGTAGTAGTAGTAGTAGTAGTGGTAGTAGTAGTAGTAGTAGTAGAAGTATCAGTAGTAGTAGTAGTAGTAGTACTACTACTACCACTACTATTACCAATACTACTACTACTACTACCACTACTACTACTACTACTACTACTACTACTACTACTACTACTACTACTATAATACAACACTACATTACACTAATTTCACTACACTACACTGCACTACACTGCAACTACAACTACAGGACGCTACATTACAACTACAACTGCGCTACTTCACACGCACACTACACTACACTAGACTACACTACACTATGCTACACTACGTTGCACTACACTACACTACGCTACGCTACAATACACTACACTACACTACATGACACTACTTTACAACTACAACTACAACTACAACTACAACTGCGCTACACCACACTACATCCAGCAGTTGTCGGTGAGGTGACCACTGCAACCATTGCAACCACTTCAAAAAACACGACTCCAACCACCTTTCCGTCCATCACTGGATTCGCTCTGCATCCGTGATTCACAACAACTCACATCTCCTATAGGTTTCCTATTTTTGAAACTTCCGGCGCCGCCTTGTGCGGTACTACTGGTATAGATCATGTAAAGTCATTTTAAATCATAAAATCATATTCAATCCCCCCATGTTTCTTGGTGATTTCCACATCTTCCCTCCAAAAAACATCCAGTTTGATCATATTCGCCAGGAAACTGGCTCTCTCCTCTTCGTCGTCCAGGCTGACAACTCGGGACTTAGCTAGAAGCCGACAATCTATTGGTATAGTGTGTTAGTTTTGATTAAATATACTAAATGCACTAGATGATAGTTGGCGTTTGGTTTTGTTGGGGTATACTAAACAATATGTTGATAATAATCATGAATCATAAGGGTGTGTGTGTATATATATATGTATATTGAGCGTTAAGAAAGGCATGAATAGGCCTTTCCTAGTGGTTGTTGCGGGTTGATAAACCCTATCCCTAAGACCAGCCTCTTGGTGAAAATCCTTGGGTTTTTTCAGTGATTTGGGCAATATTTTCCCAATGGGAAATCCACGAGTGGGGAATCTTTTTGGGCAATATTTTTGAGTTTTTTTTTGGCAATACGGTATTTTCTTGAGCAATTCCAAGATCTCTGAAATATCTTATCGCTTTGGTGTTGAACATGGAGCAAGTTAGACCCAGTAGGGGTCTATAGCATGGGATGAGACACAATGGAATTTAAAATTGTTCCAATTCCGGGCCAATATTTTGGAACATAGAATGCGTACACGAACTTAACTAGACGACGGATGGCCCGAGAGCGTAGAGGAGCAGGGTCTTCTCTTGTTAGTATGGAGACACCATATTAGAAACAATATATTAAAGATGTGTTATAGGCAGTCGAGAAGAGGAGTATTAAGACAAAATAGCAGAAGTGCAAGACAATAGTTTGCATCGC